TGAGCGAATGGTTCTTTCCTTTGTTACAATCTCTTAAACACAAAACCCAGCTATCTTCTTTCCTAAAATAGCAGTAACTCAGTTTGCCACAGCCTACTTTGCTGTGCAAACTTCAGGCAAGCTGCCTATTCTTAAAAGAGACTCCTAAAACTTTCAATCCTGCTCTAACCTCACTTAGAACTGAACTCGACTCTACTCAGAACTGAACTCCCCTGAACTGTCCAAATTATCTGCTCTCTTTCCCTCCAACTGACTAACTCCGCCCCTCTTTTCCAAACCAATCCTGGCTGTTGCTGGGCTGGCTCAGGCCTCGGCCACTCCCCCTCTCCGAACTGGAGCTTCCCTAAACTAAGATGGCTCCTGTCTCTCTCTCTGCCAGGCCTTCTAAGCTGAAACTACCTAGCCTGTCTCTTCCTGGGCCCTGCCACCCTGGCTGGCAAGGTAAGGGATCTTCACATTTGGCAGCAAGGTGAAGCTTACTCTGAGTTGCAACAGAGGCTCTTCATCATTTCAAAAAAATCAAGCAAGATTTTCCAATCTGAGAATCTTTTACCAAGCTGCATAATTATGGAATAATTGTGCAAGAACTCTGTATTCTCCTGGGCATTCAGAGACTCATCAATTTTTCTATGCTTGTCAGACTCATTGCTGATGCCTAACAGGTCTGCTGATATGACTTTGAAGTTAAATTTGTGTAGCTACTAGTAAAGCTGAGCTTGGATCTCTGTGATCTCACTTTACAGCAGACAAATGTTCTGGTCAGACGTACTGGAGTGGTGCACTTGGTATTGATCACAATTTCAAAAAGATCCAGAAAAAAGTCACAAGATGGTAGGCAATTCTGTGATGGCAGAGCTGTAAGACTTCCCCAAATTGCAGGTGAGAGAAGTGTGAGACTGAAGACTGGGCAAGGGTTTTCATCAGATGGAAGGATTAATCAAAAAGCTTAAGTCTTCTGTAACATAATAAAATTATAACTTTTTAAACTCTATCAAGATGTTTATATGTTATCTTTCACTGTCTTTTGTTCTGTACAACATGCACTGATAGGATTGTAAACATCCCTGGAAAGAATGGGAGGGTTCTATGACACCTTTAAAGAAAAACAATTGGGGGAGATGGAGGAACCATGGGTTTTTATCTTTTCATCAGGTGTCATATCAGTATACAGGAAGTCCTCCAGATACAAACATCTGACTTACAAATGATTCATAGTTAAGAATGAGGTTGAAACAACAGGAAGTTAGAAAAATCTACCCCTAGAAAGGGAAATTCACTCCTGAGAGAGTTATCATGGGGAAAAAGGTGAAACTTTCTCATCACTCTTTGTTTCCACAATAAGCAATTTTTTCAAAAACCAATTATCACAGGAACAGACAGAGTGGTGAAACATTCTGAATAGGGGCACAGACAGCAAAACAAACACAACAGAAGGGTTAATCCTTCTCTATGCTATCCAAAGCTAATACATATACATTTTGACTGTTCCAACTTACAAACAAATTCAACTTAAGAACAAACCAACAGAACCTATTTTGTTTGTAACCCGGGGACTGCCTATACATGTGACTTGTTAACAGAAACATACTTACCAAAATTTTCGACTGTGATCTCTTTTCTGTTAGTAGTTGTGATTATAAAAGTTTCTTCAGAAGAAATGCCAAACACCTAGAAGAATAAGTTAAGCATGAAATGCCATTAAGAGGACAAAAAGCTATAGAGAATATTACTATTGATTCAAGCCACTGGTATTCACTCAACTTATAAAATTTAAAAGATCCAGACATTGTTTTGTAAAACCGTAATTATGAATAAACTGTAAAACAAGACTACATGTGAATGTCACCATTCTAAGGTCAATGAAAGCATTTAAATCCTTAAGTTCTAAATGAGAAAAGACCTTGAGAACCTCAGTGTTTCAAAACTACATTAAAAGTTTATGAATTCGTTAAGTTTATCTAGATACTGATTCCATGATAATTCATTTTAGTTTTCAAACATTTTATAAGGATCTTTACTCTTATGACAGTTGAATGTATACACATTTCAACTTTTATATCAACTGATTTTCTTGGTGATCAAGGATACTACTCAATTATGCTTTAATTCTTCATTCTTCAGGGTCATTTGACAGAGGCTTCAAGCTTTCAGAGGTGGCAATATTTTTTTTTAAGTAGCCCTGAACCACTACTGGGAAAAAGTCAGAAATTACAGGTATATCAAAATTAACAAACTCTCAGAAAAAGAAGCTCCTTTTTTACAAAGTATTTTAAAATCTGCCAGTGCCTGCTTGTTTCTGTGAAGTTGAACTTTTTAGAACAGTCTTGGTATTGGCAGGATGGTGAAGGAGGACTAACGACATAGGCTTTCACCACTGGGTTGCAACGTGTTTGCAATAAACAATGCAATAAAAGTTGAATTGGAAAAGAATTTATTTTATTTACAATATTTATATACCCCTGGGGGGGGACTAAAAAAGAATGGAATATTCTATGCTAGCTGATCCTACTGTAGTTGTGTGTGCCTGCCTACACCAGACAAGGTAAACCAGAATACCATACTGAATAAAGATGATCAATAAAAAAGACAAAATGAAAGAGTGAGCATATCCCACTAGCCAACCCTCAGGATGATAAAAAAGTACTGATCCCTACATTTTGTCACCAAATGGAAATGGTAAGTGGAGAAAATTCCATTCCAGAAGGCAATTTGGAAGAAAGCCTATAATAATCTCTAAAAGGTTTAATTTTTCCCCTCTTTGCGTAAGGCAGGGGTCCTGAAACTTTTTAAACAGGGCCAGGTCACAGTCCCTCAAACTGTTGGAAGGCCGGATTATAATTTGGAAAAAAAAATGAATGAATTCCTATGCACACTGCACAGATCTTATTTGCAGTGCAAAAACCCCCCACTTAAAACACAATAATTAAAACGAATAACAATTTTAACAAATATAAACTTATTAGTATTTCAATGGGAAGTGTGAGCCTGCTTTTGGCTGATGAGATAGGATTGTTGTTGTTGTGTGCTTTCAAGTCATTTCAGACTTAGGTTGACTGAGTGAGGGCTGGGTAAATGACCTTGGAGGGCCGTATTTGGCCCTCGGGCCTTTGTTTGAGGACCCCTGGCGTAAGGCTTACCTGACCTTGATCTATTTCACATGTACATATACTTGGTATTCAATAGAGGTTTGCCCAAACATGTTGAACTGCTTTTTTTTTTGCGATATAAAACTTATAACTATTTCTTTCCATTCTTTCTGTCTCTAGTATAAATTTTCTATTACAGAAGTGAAGTTTAAGAACATACCTGCTTTATTAACTGACATATATCAATATATGTTTATGTTGTCAGCATAAACATATATTTATGCTGACAACAATTATATGGCACATCATCATCATCACCAAAAGTTAATTTCACTTAATCCTTCAACTATTCCACAAAGGGAAGAACAAGCCAAACTTTATCTTGTTCTTCCTTCTGGATCTAATCTAGAATGAGTAATCAGGGTAGATGAGAAAGATACACAATGTTCAGATAACTCATTCCCTCACACCCTGCAGGAAGTGTCTTGGTTTGGCCTTTATTCATAAGACAAATAAATCAAATCAGAAAGAATATATTCTGATTATTCTGCAGATAACTACAGTATTTTGTGTAGCTTTACTTGCAAATTTCTAATTTAGGAAGTACAGTAGAGAACAATGTGTACAATATAGCTTAATCTAACTCTATAGAAAAATCTCCAGGCACCTAATCAATGCATTCTCCTTGTATTTGTTTTATATTTTAATTAGAAGTACGCATACCTGGAATCAGTTCTCAGATTACTTCTATACTGAACAACATGTTGAAAACAACAGTGATCACAAAGCTGTGTATGGAGATGATTCTTCCCTGAAGGGAATAACAGGAGTAAGGGAGATGGCAACTCTCTTTAGCTCTGATACTTGCACCACAAATCAAAAGTCAAGTTATGTAGACTTTTCCTTCCTTTCGTAGACTTTCAACTTAAATTTTTGTTAAAAAATAAAAATAAAATATTATTTTCTTTATTTAACCAATGAAGATTTATTATATGACAATTAAATTAAATATGAAATCTCTGTACTCTTCCCTCAATTCCTGCTCCCAAAACCTTATTGAGATCTTATTCATTCACTGGCCTTTTGGCATCTGTAGTGATACCAATTTCACTTAAAATATTTAAAGTAATTTGTTTTAACTTTTGTGGCAGTGGTTCATTAAATAATTTCCAATCATTTAAAAGAATCACAATAGTCTTTTCTGTGTGGTATGTTTGATATCACAGTCAACAGTATCCATGACTATAATGATATGACGGGATCTGTATTTGAATTATTTGTTGGAGTTGTTTATTTAGCATTCAGACCATGTCATTTTTATTCATTAGAAGAAATTCAGTAACTCTCACTACTGCTAATGTGTATTACTGAGATGTTTGTGGACAAGCTAAAAAAAGTGTAATGAAATCCTGCTCTACTCTTTTGGAGACTTGGTGAAGCCCAAATAACAGTTGGGAAACAGACACAGAACAAGTACCTTGCAGGTGCACTGCCCACATTTCCCCCAACAATTTATCTTCTGAAACTAATATTTATTTAGATATATGTGGCAGGACCCCCATCTAAGGTGGTCCTGCAGTTCCAAATCTTGGCCTCCTATCATGCACCCTTTACCCTTAAGATCCCTTCCTGGATCTGGTACTCAGGACTGAATGTGCTCACAATTCTGGAGAAGTGGCTGTGTTGCTCTGTCTGTTCAGTGTGGTAAAGCAGGATCAGATTGCCTTATCAATTCATAAATGAAAGCAGTAATAAAATAAAACCAATAAAGTTCAGATGGACAGACTAATGAGCAATTAGAAGATTTACGTTTCGTCAACATCTCAGGAGAAAGCCCGAAGGTCAAGACGCTTGTAAGCAAAAAGGTTATCAGTTTCTCAAGGGAAAAGGCATAATTTTTGATCTATTTTAGCTAGGCCAGCAGAGTCTTTGGTCAGTGGAAGCAAAGTTGGAGTCTGAGTATAGAACTGTCAAGTCAAGGGATTTCTGATGCCAGGTTTCATGTTTCCTGTTTGTCCCTGTTTCACGTTTCCAAGTGCTGAGGACTATCCCTGAATCTCATGTTTTGGATTTATTCGGTTTTTGTATTCCTGGTTTTCGGATGCTACTCATGTGCCTTGTTTCTGTGGATTAATTCTGAATTTTGGACTTTGGGTTTTTATACTATTTTGCTGAATGGCTTTTTATATATATCCTTCAATAAACTGCTTTGCCATTTTACATTGGGTTGGAGTGTGTGTTAACAGCAGAGGTGCTTCCCAGCTTTGGAGAACAATAGTTCTGGCTGGTTGGAGCAGACGCCCCCCAGAAGGCTGAAGTGTTCTGGGAGGATTGTACAGGAGGTGGTGATTCTTTAGGTACATACACACACACACACACACACACACACACACACACACACACACACACTAACACGTGCACACTAAAGATAAAAATATATATTTATATCCACACAATCTTATACTGTTTTACATTGGGCATTACATTTTATTTTAACATCAAAAAATAAAAGGAAGTAGCTAGACATACAAAACAAGAAACGGAATGCATCAACACTGCAGGACCTCAGTGAGAGATCTAGGTAGACAGCAATTGAACACAGCCATTTATGTATTGTCAAAGGCTTTCATGACCGGAATCACTGAGTTGCTGTGAGTGTTCTGGGCTGTATGGCCATGTTCCAGAAGCATTCTTTCCTGATGTTTCTCCTGCTTCGATGGCAGGCATACTCAGAGATTGTGAGGTCTGCTGGAAACTAGGCAGTTGGGGTTTACATATCTGTGGAATGTCCAGGGTGGGACAAAGAACTCTTGTCTTCAAGTCCTTGAAACAGCAACAAAAAGTGCACTATATGGTTCAGATATGTGGATGACATCTTCACCATTTGGAGCCATGAAGAAGAAGAACTAAACAAGTTCCTGGACCACTGAAACATCCAATTCGCTATGAAAAAAGAAAACGAAGGAAAACTGCAATTTCTAGATGTTCTAGTCATCCAAAATCCAGAACAATTGGGCCACACGGTTTACAGAAAACCTACATACAGAGATAGATACCTACATAAAAATTCTAACTATCACCCAAGTCAAAAAAGAAGAACAATGAAAGCCCTGGCAGACCATGCAAAAAATCTGCAAACCCCACCTCCCCCAAGACAAATTGAACCACCTAAACTGGGCTCTGCGGGCCAATAGATACTCCACCAGAGTCTTCAGAAGAGCTGCAAGCTGAAATCCACAAGCATGAGGACAATTTCAACAGAAAGGAGGAAACCTTGAAAATGAACAAAACTTGGCTACAAGTATTTAAAAAACTCTAAAATTAGGACAATCAAAAAGCATGGGAATTCCACTTAAGAAACAATCTGGGCCAACTAACACAAGGACTCCCCCAGGCAGGATGAAACTGCAAAGCCATTAAATGCTAATCAAGGCAGCCAATTGCAAAATTCACACCTGCCTCAAACAGACAAGAATTCTTTCTCCCACTCTGGACATCATTCCACAGATCAAATCCCACTTGCCTTGTTTCCAACAGACCTCACAACAAGGTTTCTCAACCTGGGGGTCAGGACGCCTGAGGGGTTGTAAGGGAGTATCAGAGGGGGTCACCAAAGACCATCAGAAAACAATTTTTTTTTCTATTGGCCATGGAGGTCCTGGAGGATTATCCTACTTGGACAATGAGGGATCACCTAAGTAAGTAAGTGTGCCAAGTTTGGTTCAATTCCATCATTGGTGGAATTCAGAATGTTCTTTGATTGTAGGTGAACTATAAATCCCATCAACTTCAACTCCCAAATGACAAAATCAATCCCAACCCCACCAATGTTCAAATTTGGGCATGTCGGGTATTTGTGCCAAATTTGGTCCAGTGAATGAAAATACATCCTGCATGTCAGATATATTTATTTATTTATTTATCAATTTTATATACGACCACGCTCCGAAGGCTTGGAGCGGTTCACAATATACACATACAATAGGTAAAGGTAAAGGTAGTCCCCTGACATTAAGTCCAGTCATGTCTGACTCTGGGGTGTGGTGCTCATCTCCATTTCTAAGCCGAAGAGCCAGCGTTGTCCGTAGACACCTCCAAGGTCATGTGGCCGGCATGACTGCATGGAGCGCCGTTACCTTCCCGCTGGAGCGGTACCTATTGATCTACTCACATTTGCATGTTTTCGAACTGATAGGTTGGCAGAAGCTAGGGCTGACAGCGGAAGCTCACGCCGCTCCCCAGAATCGAACCTGCGACCTTTCGATCAACAAGCTCAGCAGCTCAGTGCTTTAACCCACTGCACCACCGGGGGCACCACATGTAATACATAACATTAAAATCAAGGAAAAATTCGATCAGCAAGGTTCAAATGCCAGCCTAAATAAATAAGTTTTACAAGCTTTACGAAAGGACAGTAAATCTTAGAGAGCTCGTGTCCCCGCTGGCAAGGCATTCCACAGGTAAGGAGCCACCACCGTAAATTCTCTACGCCAGTGGTTCTCAACATTCCTAATGCCACAACCCCTTAATACGCTTTCTCGTTATGGTGACCCCAACCATAAAATTAGTTTCATTGCTACTTCATAACTGTCATTTTGCTGCTGTTATGAATAGTAATGTAAATATCTGATATGCAGGATGTATTTTCATACACTGGACCAAATTTGGCACAAATACCCAATACACCCAAATTTGAATACTGGTGGGATTGGGGGAGGGTATTGATTTTGTCCTGTGGGAGTTGTAGTTGCTGGGATTTATAGTTCACCTACAATCAAAGAGCAACTCCACCAACGATGGAATTGAATCAAACTTGGCACACAGAACTCCCATGACCAACAGAAAATACTAGAAGGGTTTGGTGGGCACTCACCAACACCCAGAGAGCACTGTGGACTCAAACAATGATGGATCTGGACCAAACTTGGCACAAATTCTTAATATGCTCAAATGTAAACATTAGTGGAGTTTGGGGGAAATAGACCTTGACATTTGGGAGTTGTAGTTTATTTATTTATTTATTATTTATTTACTTTATTTCTATACCGCTTTTCTTTGGGCGACTCAAAGCGGTTTACATAGTACAAATTATCACAAGACAGCATCATAGGCAATTAAAACACATTATACATAACAATCAATATCAATAAACAATCATTATCATAACGCCTCAGCACCAAATCAGAAACCATTCTCATAATCCTTGTTCCATGTTCCTATGTTCGATTGCACCATATTCCTATAATCAATTGCACTGTTTAGCCAAACGCTTGTTCGAAGAGCCAGGTCTTCACCTTCCTCCGGAATGCCAACAGTGAAGGGGCCTGTCTGATGTCTACAGGTAGGGCATTCCACAGCCGAGGGGCCACCACCGAGAAGGCCCTGTCCCTTGTCCCCGCCAGGCGCGCCTGTGATGCAGGCGGGACCGAGAGCATAATGTCCTAGTCGGTTCATAGGTGGAGATGCGTTCGGAGAGGTAAGTAGGGCCAGAACCGTTTAGGGCTTTGTAAGCTAAAGCCAGCACTTTGAATTGTGCCCGGTAGCAGATTGGCAGCCAGTGGAGTTGCTGGGATTTATAGTTCACCTACAATCAAAGAGCATTCTGAACCCTACCAACAATTGAATTGGGCCAAACTTCTCACAGAACCTCCATGACCAACAGAAAATACTGTGTTTTCTGGTGGTCTTTAGTGACCCCTCTGACACCCCCTCGTGACCCCTCCAGGGGTCCCAACCCCCAGGTTGAGAAACACTGCTCTACGCTTAGTAGACATCAGGTGAAAGGTCCTAAAATTGGGAACTTATATTACCATTTGTAACATAAATTACAGTTATGAATTAGCAAGAAAAATAACGTTGTTAGGCGAAACGTCAGGAGAGGGTTTATTTATTTATTTATTTATAACTTTTATATACTGGTCTTCTCCACCTCCGGAGAGGGACTCAGGCTGGTTTACAACAAGATTCATAAACAGTCATTTAAAAACATCCCCCCGTAACACATTAATACATAAAATACATTAAAAACAATCTTACAGTTACTTAAAACCAGGTCATCAAAATGAGATCACAATTCACACCATCCATCCGTGTGATCAGAGTTATTGACTCACTCATCAAATGCTAGGTTTTCACCAACTTTCTAAAAGTCAGGAGAGAAGGGGCAGTTCTAATCTCCAGTGGGAGAGTGTTCCAGAGCCGAGGGGCCACCACCAAGAAGGCCCTGTCCCTTGTCCCCGCCAGACGCACTTGCGAGGGTGGTGGGAGCGAGAGCAGGGCCCCTCCAGAAGATTGATGGTTCATAGGGGAGAATCCGTTCGGACAGGTAAACTGGGCCGGATGCTTCTGGAACATGGCCAGGCAGCCCTGAAAACTCACAGCAACACACAGTTTCATTTTCTCCAGGAAACAAAAATCTAAAATGGAACGGGGTGGTGACATTTAGTGTCACTCGCATGTTTTTTTTTTCTGCTTCTGGTGCCAAAATAACTTGTTTGACACTGCCTGCCTTGGCTTAGAAGTGGGAGAGGAGGAAGAAGCAGATCATTTGCTGTCCAAGTTCAAAGACATATCAAGAAATAGGGGGTATGGCTTGAAATCAGGCATGGGCTTAAGCGGCTGAGGGAGAAAAGGAAAGGGCCTGAGGCTGTTAGGAATGGTGGGAGTTGAAGTCCAAAACACCTGGAGGGCCTGAGTTAGCCCATTCCTGCTCTGCACCAAACTAACTATCCAGGGACACCACAGCAGTTCGAGTTGCTAGTTGCTGGCTCTGCCCAGGAGGCCGTTCCACTCTCCCTCCCTTCGCCCTCCCTCTGTTTACCTGACAGGCGGCGTCCCGGAGGCGCCCATAGTCTCCCTCAGGACAGCGAAGAACTTTCTCGCCCTCGTCCGAAGTGTCTCGGCGGCGGTCGTAGACGAAGACCGTCAGGACCGCCTTGCCCTCCGCTGCCATGTTGGGACGCGGCCCTGACAGGAGAGGAGAGAGAAAGAGAGAGAGAGAGAACCACACCCGCCCCCTCCCTGCCGGGCCGCTGCTCTTCTTCTGAGGGCAGGGGGCGTGGCCTGACGGAGACCAGGAGGCGTGGTCAACCGGATGGGCGTGGTTTACTTATCGGAGGGAAAAATACGGCCGAGGGGGAGGAGCTATGGGAAAGGGGCGTGGCTTACCTCTCGGAGCGGGAAAGAATGCCGCCGAAGGGGCGGGGCCAAGGGCCGAGAAGGCGCCAAAGCTGGAAGAGAGAGTGCTAGCGGGGGTTTCAACCGTCTTGGAACGCTCGCTTCCGTTTTGAAATGATCGCTGTTTTTTTTTTTTTTAAAGCGGCAGGGGAAGAAAAGCCAAGATGGTCTGACGCCAGGAAGCAATCATTTCCGGGCCTCTTGCTCAGGGAAACGAAACCGATCACTTCGGGGCCTCTTGTTCAGGGAAACGAAACCGCCGTTAGTCATCTAGAATCATAGAATCAAAGAGTTGGAAGAGACCTCATGGGCCATCCAGTCCAACCCCCTGCCAAAAAGCAGGAATGTTGCATTCAAATCACCCCTGACAGATGGCCATCCAGCCTCTGTTTAAAAGCTTCCAAAGAAGGAGCCTCCACCACACTCCGGGGCAGAGAGTTCCACTGCTGAACGGCTCTCACAGTCAGGAAGTTCTTCCTCATGTTCAGATGGAATCTCCTCTCTTGTAGTTTGAAGCCATTGTTCCGCGTCCTAGTCTCCAAGGAAGCAGAAAACAAGCTTGCTCCCTCCTTCCTGTGGCTTCCTCTCTCATATTTATACATGGCTATCATATCTCTCTCAGCCTTCTCTTCTTCAGGCTAAACATGCCCAGCTCCTTAAGCCGCTCCTCATAGGGCTTGTTCTCCAGACCTTGATCATTTTAGTCGCCCTCCTCTGGACACATTCCAGCTTGTCAATATCTCTTGAATTGTGGTGCCCAGAATTGGCCACAATATTCCAGGTGTGGTCTAACCAAAGCGGAATACTTCCCTAGATCTAGACCAGGTGTCCCCAAACTAAGGCCCGGGGGCCGGATGCGGCCCTCCAAGGTCATTTACCCGGCTCTCGCTCAGGGTCAACTGAAGTCTGAAAGCACACAACAACAACAACAACAATCCTATCTCATCAGCCAAAAGTTTATATTTGTTAAAATTGTTCTTCATTTTAGTTATGGTACTGTTTTAAGTGTTTTTTTACACTACAAATAAGATATGTGCAGTGTGCATAGGAATTCATTCATGTGGTTTTCAAATTATAATCCGGCCCTCCAACAGTTTGAGGGACTGTGACCTGGCCCTCTGTTTAAAAAGTTTGTGGACCCCTGATCTAGACACTATGCTCCTATTGATGCAGGCCAAAATCCCATTGCCTTTTTTTGCCGCCACATCACATTGTTGGCTCATGTTTAACTTGTTGTCCACGAGAACTCCAAGATCTTTTTCACACATACTGCTCTCGAGCCAGGTATTGTCCCCCATTCTGTATCTTTGCATTTTGTTTTTCCTGCCAAAGTGGAGTATCTTGCATTTGTCACCGTTGAACTTCATTTTGTTAGTTTTGGCCCATTTCTCTAATCTGTCAAGAATTGTTTTGTATTCTGCTCTTGTCCTCTGGAGTATTGGCTATCCCTCTCAATTTGGTGTCATCTGCAAACTTGATGATCCTGCCTTCTAGCCCTTCATCTAAATCATTAATAAAGATGTTGAACAGGACCGGGCCCAGGACGGAACCCTGCAGCACTCCATCTAGTGGTGAGGCAACTGGAAAAGTGCTTCTTTTCACGTTTCCTGAAGCTGAGGTGATTATAGCGCAGTTTTGTGGGGATGAGGGAGAGGGCCTTTTCGGTGGTGGCCCCTCGACTCTGGAATTCACTCTCTAAGGACATCAGGCAAGCCCCAATGCTGGCAGTCTTTAGGAGGAACTTGAAAACGTGGTTGTTCCAGTGTGTCTTCCTAGAATAAAGAAAACTCTTAGCAATATGTCCTCAAATGCACTTTAATATTGATTTAGGATTGTCTGTGCGCCCTCATCTTTTTTGTCTGAAAATCCTATCCTGGTTTACCCTATCTTGTTCATGCCCAGCATTTTAAATTTTAATTATTACATTTGGCCCGGCCATAGGTTTCAAATGCTGTATGTTATTGTTTTTTGCTTGTTGTGTATTTTCTGTTTTTGAGTTTATTTTAACTGTTTTGTATTGATTATTTGTTTATTGATGTGCTGTGGGCTTGGCCTCATGTAAGCCGCACCGAGTCCCTTGGGGAGATGGTAGCGGAGTACAAATAAAGTTTATTATTATTATTATTAGGCAAAATTTAGGCAAATGAGCAAATCCTCCTCTGCAACTGCAGTGGAAAGGTTGCTCCACAGTGTGCTGAGAGCCTGAACCCTGGAAGAGTCCTACCAGAAGACTTATCTTGTGGACAGTTATCCACAAGATAAGTGGATAACTGTTTCAACTGTTTGTATTGATTATTTGTTATCGTTTTTGTTTATTGACGTGCTGTGGGCTTGGCCTCATGTAAGCCGCACCGAGTCCCTTAGGGAGATGGTAGCGGAGTACAAATAAAGTTTATTATTATTATTATTATTATTATTATTATTATTATTATCTTTCAAGATCTAGAGCAGGCCTGGGCAAACTTCGGCCCTCCAAGTGTTTTGGACTTCAACTCCCACAATTCCTAACAGCAAACTATTATTTGACAAAATAAATTGCATTATATTATATTTAATCGCCTAGAATCAGATTTTTTTAAAAAAACAACTCACAAATCAGTAACACAGGCATAATCCCAGAGGGCTGAAAACAGAGCATACTTGTCCCCATTTAAAGGGTGATAAACAAGATCCCAACAACTATCGCCCTATTAGTCTCTTAGATATTGACTCTTAAGTTATATAGTAAACACCTGTTAAACAAATAGTAAACACCTGTTAAACAAACTAGGAATTCAATAACCAAATCATTCACCCAGAACAGCCTGGTTTCAGAAAAGGACAGTGTACGATTGACCAGTGTCTGACAAAAAGAATCAGAATTTTGGATTTTAAAAAGAAACCTGACGAAAAATAAATTATATTGTATTATTACATTTACGCAACCAGAATCAGGATTGTCAATTTTTAAAAAAACATTTCTACTTGACAAAAATACACTTATTATATTTTATTATATTTAACTGCCCAGAATGCTAATATATTTTAGAATATTTAGAATATTTAACTGCCCCTTTCAAAACAATATTTTAAAAAATTACTACCTGACAAAAATGAATTTAAGCACCAAGAATCCTAACTGTCCATTAAAAAATAATGACCAGACCTAAATAAATGTTATTATATTGTATTATTATATTTAAGCACCCAGAATAATTGCCCATTTTTTTTTTTAAAAAAAGATCACCTGTCAATTTTTATATATATATATATATTTAGGACCCCATGATGGCGCAGCTGGTTAAACTGCTGAGCTGCTCAACTTGCTGACCAAAAGGTTGGTGGTTCAAATTTGGGGTGAGTTCCTGCTGTTAAACCCAGCTTCTGCCAAACTAGCAGTTCGAAAACATTCAAATGTGAGTAGATCAATAGGTAACGTTTCTGCAGGAAGGTAACGGGTGCTCCATGCAGTCATGCTGGCACCACAACCGTGGAGGCTTCTACTGACATCACCAGTTTTTTGGCCTAGAAATGGAGATGAGCACCACTTCTCAGAGACAGACACTAAATTTAATTTCAGGGGAAACCTTTACATTTACATATAAAGCACCAAGAATCATAATTGTCAATTACAAAAAAATTACTTATTTGTTCAGTTGCTTCTGACGCTTCATGACCTCATGGAGCAGCCCACACCAAAGCTCCCTGTCGGCTGTGGCCACCCCCAGCTCCTTCAGGGTCAAGCCAGTCAATTCAAGAACATCCATCTATCTTACCCTTGGTTGGCCCCCCTTCCTTTTTTCTTCCAATTTTCCCAGCATCATTATCTTCTCCAAGCTTTGCCTCTAATCTCCTCTAGCTGGAGGAGGAAGAAGAGAAATGGTGGCGGCAGCAGCTTCTGTGCCGCTTCTGATGTTTCTCCTCTTCCTCCTCCATGGCCAGCTGGACGAAGAGGATTTGCAGGAACTGCCTTTGCGACATAGGAGCCCTGCCTGGGGCCTCCTGTGCTACCTCTGCCGCTTTTCCTCTTCCTCCATGGCCAGCCAGCTTCGGAGCTTCGTCTCCAGGTTCCACTTCCCAGCTAGGCCCGAATATAAGCCAAGAGAGAATTTTTCAGCCCAAAAAAGGGCTGAAAAACTCGGCTTATATTCAAGTATATACAGTATATTATCTTTAAACATCTTTAAAAGGAGCAGGCACTTCTTCATTCCATAATACGCCATAGTCTTTCTGTCTTTTTAAAAATATAAATTCTTATTTACATACTCTAACAGCTTACAGTGTAAACAGTACAATGGACACACCTAGTTCCAGCAGACGAGTCCTTTGTCCCACCCTGGTCATTCCACAGATATATAAACCCTTTTTCCTAGTTCCAACAGACCTTGCTATCTCTGAAGATGCTTGTCATAGATGCAGGCAAAACGTCAGGAGAGAATGCCTCTAGAACATGGCCATATAGCCCGAAAAAACTTACAACAACCCAGTACAATGGACAGTTTGCAAATACATAACCCCACCACCAAGGCCTGAACAAGTATAATTTCCTTTGCCATAAATGTATGAGTCAACCAGTAAAAAAATGACATATCCAAAATTCCTGATCAACAAGGTTGTATGGAGCCTTCCTATCATCCCCATGCAAAATTTTATCATTAATGATGGCAAATATTCAGCTTGCTTATGGAGTGACTGAAATGTATCAATTGAAAGTAAGACCAAGAAAACTGACCAGACTACTAGACACACACCAAGATTATAATAGCAATTGGAACCAAGTTGTACATACATGTCAGTTGCTTATTGAAAGTGTCTCGAAAATTTGTTACAGCAGGCAACTGAGGGTTCTCCATCTTTCTGAGCCTTAGTGACATTAAATTGTCACTAACTGGATTAACTGATAGTATTGCACCGCAGGAGTTCATCTTGTTCAAAGCACTCACCAGGAAACCAGACATGGTGATAAACAGTTTATTGATAAAACACACAAAAAAGGGCTAAAGGCACCTTAAGCAAATAGAATAAAAATCCAAATGTATATATAAAAAGTCCCAAGAGGTGAAATATAAATCTAAAAAAAACCAAGGGTTAAAACTTGAATATTAATCTAGAAAACAAGGAACAAAACAAGAGCTTGAATCCATAGGTAAGTTCTCAACACAGATAGCAAAACTTGACTAGGAAACTTGGGCCTCAAGCTAGAGCATAATCAGGAACAAGGCAGGAGTATCTCACTCCATTGGTGATGTTGCTTGATCTAAAAATCCTAGTAGCTTTCTCCCTAAATTAAAGACTGCAATACATGAAGGCATTCTGTTGACCTTGAGGAGCCTGTTTCTGCCTCTCTTTCCCATGGCTTTGCTTGCACCTGGATGTCTTCTCACGCAGGAGTAGCCTTGTTTCTCTCTCTAGGCCCACTTCTTCTTCGGATGAGTTCATGTTATCCTCCCTTCCCTGCCTATCAGCTTCTGAAGCAATTTCATTTTCACATAGAGCAGGGGTCCTGAAACTACGGCCCGGGGGCTGAATGCGGCCCTCCAAGGTCATTTACCTGGCCCTTGCTCAGGGTCAACCTAAGTCTGAAACGACTTTAAAGCACACAACAACAACCCTATCTCATCAGCCAAAAGCAGGCCCACACTTCCCAATGAAATACTAATAAGTTTATATTTGTTAAAATTGTTCTTCATTTTAATTATTGTATTGTTCTAAAGTGTTTTTTGCACTACAAATAAGATATGTGTACTGCGCATAGGAATTCATTCTTTTTTTTCAAATTATAATTCGGCCCTCCAACAGTTTGAGGGACTATGACCTGACCCTCTGTTTAAAAAGTTTGTGGACCCCTGACATAGAGGGACAACATCTTGTTCTAAAGCCCCCTCTATACTTCCAACTGGAGAACTATCCTGCTCCAATATCCCCTCTGTCTGGGCACCCACAGAACCATCAGGCCCTGCACCCCCAAACCCCTCATCATCATCAGCTGGCTGAACCACAACAGATAGCATTTTAAAGATAAAACAGTAGAAATAGAATAAGACCTTATTTTGCCAATTTCAATGCTGCTTAATAGATATATCAGTCATTTTTGTTTTAATGACTCTGCCTTGTATGCCTCCAAATCATTTTTAACTTATGATGATCCTAAGGTAAAACTCTCCTTTGGCAGAGAAAAAGTGGGGTATAAATAAATAATAATAATAACAACACAATAAGAGTTCCTTGACACAATTATTCCAGAGATGGGTTGCCAATGCCTTATGTTGCAACTGAGTGTAAGTCATAGCTGAGTGCTGAAACTACTACATCATGTCAATAGCTTTAATAAACTTAATGCAACTGGGCACAGGTCTGATTAAATCAGATTAAGCCACAGTGTCAAACAGTGTAACTCTTGTCATCATTCAATGTTAAGAAATAAAGTAGAAGAGCTATAAGGATACTTTATTATTTTAAAAATACATATACAAAGCATTATACGAAGATGAAAATATTTATGAAAATAAAGATGAACATAGTACAGCTATACATCCTTGACATATAATATATTCAGTATCATTTGTCTGTCTCATACAAAGTATCAGTCTTCTTTTGGTAGCAGTCTACAATTTCTTTTAGGTTAGCCAATGGGTCTTCTGACATAAATTCCTGAAATTCTTGATCAATCTTTGCATTCTGTTTAGTCAGGTACGCCTAGAAGAATTATGATATATCAGACCATATTAAAATATTTCAGACCATATTTGTATACTAGAGGTATCAGACTTTGTCAGATTATTACATTTTTTGTTGTTATCTATAAATATTTTAGATTTCTATCAAATATAAATATACCATGGAATTATGAAATGTGGAAAAGAAAGAGGATGTTGGTTATCTACCTGCTCTGATTCAGAACTTAGTATGTCCATTGTTACATCATTTATACAGGCTGGAATCCTGTTTCTTCTGTTGGTGGGTTTGTGGAGATGTATTTTTCTCAGATGTTTGGCTCTGTGCTAGAGGACTCCTCAAGTCATAAGTGCTTGCGGGAGAGGCTTGGACAGCACCTATCCCATTTTATTGGGGAATGTCCCATTCACACACCATATAGAAGAACTTGGTTCTGGGGTTGCCCTCTGCCATGCACTGGAAAAATCAAAGGCTCTGAGCCAGTAATACTCTCTCACCATCACTAGCTCTCATCCCTGTGCTAGCCTGTAAATACTGTTCACACACACAGACTAACATGCACATGGTGTGTGCCAGCAGGTTTCCAGCTGAAGTTCATTTGCACTGTGTTCCAATTAGCCCAATACCATACATATCCACTACAGAACTAGACCTGGACTGAGATCTTGCATGGACATATGGAATGCTCCATCCAGGGATGTTGCACCAGGATGCCAAACCTAGATTATTCTTTAATTGTTTCAGAACACATGGTTTTTATTTCTAAAATATAGTTGTGTTAAACTACAGTACCAAAATCAAAAAGCTTTGGAATGTTTTCAGGACCAATAAATTCAAAATGGCACAACCAGTTCCACAGTCCACATGTTTCTCTAGAATAAGCTAGAAAATGGCATGGTAGGCTTGGAAAAATACTCCAGTCTTTGTGAAACCAAGCTTTAATTGGTAAATTACAAAGATTTCTTTAAAAATCTATATTATTTGATAATGATGAAACAAAGTCCATGTCATTAGGTGTTGAATGTCTAATCAGATTTATGGCCCCTATAGCCATTCTTGTCTCTTGCACTTTATTATTGTCCCTGCCCAGAAATTGTACTGTACTAATCTGACTTTGCTGTCTCAGCTTTAACTTATCACCTACCTCTTGCACTTTGCCATCAGCCCTTGTCCTGGCAATTGTAGTGCTCAAGCCTTCCCTCGCCCTTAGCTCGGAAATGTTATGTTTGGCTACTGGTTGTTGTATGATGAATTATATTTTAAAAACAACAACAAAAAACCTCATCTAAAAGATTCACACATTTTAGTTTCCAGATTATGAAATATAACCTGGAAGTTTAGCAGGAAGTAAAAGTAATGTTATTCAAACTTTCCAGTATCAAACAATGAACATCTTATATCAGGGTAAGAAACTAATCCCTCATTCTTATTTATTATTTATATTTATGTTTGCCTGTATAACGTTTGATATCTATCCATGGCTTTTCATTATATAAGACAAGAACTAGGGATTAGTGATCTCTGGAATTCTTCAAAAATTAAGATAGTTTCTCCTTATATAATATGAGTTACCTCTACAGATTGAAGGTGAGTAAAGATCCGTTCCAGATAACGTTGCAGGTTTGTTTCCACTTTCCGACTCTCTTCAGATGTTGTTTGCATGACCACTTGGTATCTAGGAAATAAATATATCAGTGGCACAAACTGAAAGGCCTGCTTTAGCAATTCGATTTCAAATAGCTTAGGCCATTTCAAAAGCCTTAGTTGTAGATTATGGTCTTGTTTTTTAGGACTTTACAATGTCTGAGTCATTAAGAAAAACTACATCTGTGCAATGAATACATTATCTTGTAAACCGTATCTACTGGAAAATGTGCTTAAAACTCATGCTTATTCCTTTTTATGGTTCTGTTTATAAAAAATGAATATGCTTTGGAACAACAAATAAAGGAATAGTAAATACTATAATGAGCTGGAAGGAAATGCGCCAATATTTTGTAAATTATTCCCCTACTGGTGAATTGCAAAATTACACCCCAAAACGATGGTGATTGATAAGACACATATTACCAACTGTGGTTCAATCTTTAATTATAGTTAAATCAGTTCTTCTATACTGCCATATAATACAGATTATTAATCCAGATTATCTGTTTTGAACTGGATTATATGATTCTACACTGCCATATAATAGAGTTCAAAGCAGATAATCTGGCAGTGTAGAAGGAGTTTAAGACTGCTTCAAGATAATTATGTGTATATACCTTGTTTTATATTATTTTTACAAATTACCCAACAATACCACGTCTATGACATAGCCTTTCAGCAAAATCTTATGAATGTTTACTTGAATCTAAAATATCCACTCAGCCTATGAAAATGAGCATATAATCACAGATTTATTCTCATCCACATGGAGAAAAAGTAGATGTGCAAATTACAGTTCTTTACACTCAACTTTTGTCACCTCTGTTCCATTGCTATTTTCTATAATGCAGAAATGTAGACAGTAAGCTACTTTTGAAAGGACAATGTTTACTGATGATGATTAATTTATTTGGAAAAAAGTTCCAATGATTTCTAGATAGAATCTATTTACAAGTGTATTTTGAACTACCATCATAGAAAGAATTTATTCTAAGTAGGGTTGTGTAAACTGAAGGAGAAAAAAGTGATGATACATGTTAAAGAGGAAAAACTAACATTAAAAACCAAATCTAGGAGGAACACAGTATAGTGCAGTATCTGAAAACTGTAGGCCATCTATCACCCAGTGTCAAGAAATGCTTTTGCACACTGCCCCTAAATGCATGCTACATATCTAAACAGAGTGATTTGTACATTGAAAGCACATCTCAGACACTCCACTCATAGGTGATTCACTCTTAAACACCACTCAATTACAAAACCTGACTTTCTATCCAAACTCTTATCCTTACTGGCTCCACTTCTCCCTAATTTCCCTGATCATATTCACTAGCCTATTCAAATCAAATCAAATAACCACTCATTCTTAATATTCCATTCTGTCATTCCCTTTCAATCACCCCAAATATCTTGTACATACAGCCAAATTACAGGTATATTCCTGTATATAGCAGTGGGTCTCAACCTGTGGGTCTCCAGGGGTTTTGGCCCACAACTCCCAGAAATCCCAGCCAGTTTACCAGCTGTTAGGATTTCTGGGAGTTGAGGCCCAAAACATCTGGGGACCCACAGGTTGAGAACCACTGTATTGTCATGTGTTAGCATGAGTAGCATGCAGATTGACTCTAGCCCAGTTAACTTTGTGTGTGTTGAATTGACTCATAAAAGAAAAACACATGAGACTTTGGCTTTTAGTTGAAAAGAAAATATTGTAGTATTGGCAGCATACAAAACAAAATAGCAGGATTGCTGTTTCCACAAAAGTAACACAAAATAATATCTTCTGAGAGATATCATTACTCAGCTGTGATAAGCAGGAATCCTTGTCCTCTTCACATGACTGTGTCTTCGCAGGACATCTGCAGCATAGTCCCCGGCTTACACAAGGCAAAGTGATACAAAAGCAAAAACACGCAGAGGCATAGATACACAATGGCATAAAGGCACGATGTCCAAGAAACGAAACACACAGTAGCTATCTTTATACACATGAAAGTAATGCTCTCAATTAGCTCTTCAATTAACTGAAACAGCTGTAGCACAAACAACACTGATCCTTACAACAACTTAGATAAAGTACGTTGCAACCTCTTAGTAGCAACATGTATATATGGTATATACTGTAGTAATATATAAATAACATTATACATCAAAATCCATGCTATCACATGAAGCCAGTGCATCAACTCCAGCCCCTCAGTTGCTCATTCCTGCTATATTAAGTTCAGCTTACCGACATCGAGCTTCATCAAGTTCTTTTGAGGTTTCACTGAGACCTTCATTGATTCCACTAGAAAGCAAGCGCTTATGTTCCTCTAACAATTCCAACTCTTGATTAGCTTTTTGTTCTTCTTCTTCAACTTCCTGCAATCAATGCATTTCATAACTTATTGTGAATAAAATATCAATTATTCCATAAAATCTCTTACATTAATGGATCTTACTAGTATTTACAAAAAATGAACCTTTAGGGGCTTCCTGGAATGGATCCAGCTCAAATCAAAATAATGATGTAGCTTTGTTTCAGTAATGTCATACTCTGGAAAAAAATGTATATAGATGGTATCAGCTCTCATTCTGTCTGGACTGGAGGTCTATTGGATGAAGACCCTTCTGGTATTTAGTAACAGATGGGGCCGTTACTATGTAATTGCCCATTTTTGTTCATTACATTTTGTTAGGGCTTGTATATTTTGAATACCACGTTTGATTAAATTGCTAGCACAAATCTGCCTGTAAATTTTTAAACAGAGGCTAGATGGCCATCTGTCAGGGGTGCTTTGAATGCAATATTACTGCTTCTTGGCAGGGGGTTGGACTGGATGGCCCATGAGGTCTCTTCCAACTCTATGGTTCTATGATTCTAAGTACCTCAAGTGACAAAACAAGAAGGCATTAGGACTCTCATGAAAGTGGAAAAACCGTGAATAAAAAACCCGATAATTTTACCTGAAAGAACACCTCTCTGGAGATCTATAACTCCTCCAGCATGACTCTGTGCTTAATATATCCCAGAATTTGGCCACAGAATTGTACTGGAGGACCCAGAGATTCTTGGCGAGGTGTTCTCTCTTGGGATGTTTGGGCTTTCCAGTGTAACACTGATGATCAGTTTCTAGTGGATGCTGACCATAGATCCATATTGTGAAACCTAGGGATTCCTAGAGAAAATATCCTAATCAAACAAACCATTGAATAATCACATTTGCAAACGTCAAACCCACAAATATGAAGGGCTAACTGTATTATTATACAAAATGTAAATACCATATATCTGTAATGGCTAGTTAGACCAACCAGATAGAGATTTAATTGTTTTACTACCAAATGCCTTTTGGCAATACAAAACCCACCTTCATTTTCTGCTGATAGAGACTTTCTAGTTTCTGGCCTTCTTCTTTGAGCATTTTTACAGTGCTCTTCTGGTCTGCTTCCATTTTGCTTGCCTTAGGAAGTGAAGATTAATAAAGGGCATCAGCATTTTAAAAAGGAAAACTGAAAGAAGCTCATACCTATAACTTGAGTCCCGTCTAAGTCTTTCACTAATTCAGTGATGATAAACAAATCAGCTCTAAGAGACAAGGAAACATAACTGAAATCAAGTATCTTTTCAGATGCTCTAAAGAGTTTCCACTTTTATGTTCTTCAGTCTACATGTCAACTCTTTGATAACGTGCATGCTGCATCTATTAAGCACCTAGAAATCAGAGTACAGTTGAAAATGGTTTCAAAGTCCTCAACAGTTCCCTTTCGGTTCCCATCCCTCTGTACCAGCTACCTGTCCTTACACATTTATTTAAAGTCAGAATTATTTTGCTCTTGCCCTTCTACCTTTTTCCCAACTTTGCGACTCAAAGCAGCATACAAAACAGTTAACACAATAAAATAACAATACTAAAAACACAGTTAATATAATTAAACTATCAACAGTTAAAGCATTAAAAAAAACAGACAATATAACACATAGTTAAAATCCTTTCCCCATGCCTATCAAAACAAAAAAGATGGATTTAGTCACTCACCTGTTCAAAGGCATCCTCTAAGCCAATTTTTGATTTAGTAATATTAGAGATTTCATCCTCAGTTTTGTTTATGAGCTGCAGAAGGGGAGCCTGCCATGATTACATCAAAAATAGGGGGGGGGGGGGGGAATAATATTTTAGATTTCTGGTCAAGTTTTTTTAAAATCTAAAATTGATTGTATACTAAATAAAAGTAATTCCTGCAAACGAATAGAAATACTTTCATGAAACTCAGGCCCCTTCCACACAGCTGTATAGAATCCACTTTGAACTGGATTATATGACAGTGTGGACTCAGATAATCTAGTTCAAAGCAGATATTGTGAATTATCTGCCTTAATATTCTGGGTGATATGGCTGTGTGGAAGGGCCCTCACTTATGGGCTTGATATAAAGCTACATTCAGGGAAATTCTGTTTAAATGACTTGAGAACAACTTGGGAACATCTAGTTATATTTTAATAGTTTTGAGAAAAGTTTTTAATTTATGCTCTATTGTTGACTCTGCCGTAATTGTAGCCAATCCATGCTGGATAATACAAAGGTCTGTGTTATCCTCTATCCTGTTTCCCACAGCAGTCAGTCTAACTTCTATGGAAATCTTACAAGTAGATTAGAATGCAATTGCTTTATTTTTCTGCTGTTCTCCAGGAATATTCAGTAGTAACATCACACACCAGGAACAATCATGTTTGTGCTGCAACACCAGCATAATACTATTTCCCTTATTTTACAGTATTTCTATACCGCTTTTCTCACCCCTAGCGGTTTACACATAACTGACAAAACTTCAGTGCTATACATTGGACACTGACGCGATGCCAAACCATAACAACCACAATAATAAAACCACAATTAAACATAAATCATAATTAGGCAGTACATAAGCAATCATTAAAACCCTCCCCTTGACCCTCCTCTTCAATTTCAGGGTGAGGGAAGTAGCTCTGTCAGCAGGCATTCACCTGAGCTTTTTATACTGATATGCTGCAATACAAATATTAAGGCAATTCTTGTACACAGTGAAATGAATAGATGTGTTGCACTTACACTGTGAATCATGTCAAAATCTACTTTAAATTAATTCTAAAGTCCTAAAAAAAGAATAACTGCGCGTTGGTATATACGTACATAAATATCAATTCTGTATTTGTTCAAGCAATTCTGCCCTTCATCAGGGTTAAATTTGATTTCAAAATCAATACCACCACAATTCTTCGGGTTCCTAGGAATTAATTTCAGTTTACGAGCTAATTTGTGGTAATCTCCCAATGTGGCTTCAATCTGTGAAGAAAAAAATAAATAAAGGGTTAACCTTTTGCATCTTGCAGTGATATATTATACTAGAAGAAGAAAAGCTATCATTCCTTTAAAAAACACTTTTGCCTTTATCCGAATATTGGTATTTTCTTCAAATTTGATAGTTTGGGGGTTCAAAATTACTTCTATTTTTGGCCATGAAAACCACTCTCTCAGAGTATCTTTCAGGGTATAATTCAACAAATCAATCAAAACTAGTTGCGAATCAGAAGCTGTCAATTACTGCCTGTAAAGACACTTCACTACAGCAAACCCAAACAAAATATGGAATAGTTCGTTCAAGGCAGATCCTGTGAATGGCAAATTAAACTGTTGACTGACCTGATTCCTTTACAAAGGACAAGATATAAATGTTGCATTGTTACCAAATATCATGTTCTAGGCTGTTTGTGGAAACTTTAGAACAGTCAATCACTTTTCTACCACAATAATTGAAATCTCCCAGTGACTCTAATTTATGCAAAATCAGAGCCAGCATAGGGTACCAATCTAAGCATTGGAATAGGATCCAAGGAAACAAAAGTTCAAATCTTTGCTCTGACATGGAAACCCACCAGATGACTTTGGGGAAGTTACTTTCTTCTAGCTTAAGAGGAAGGCAGCGACAAATTTCTGAATAAATTTTGGCACAAAAGACAGGGTCTTCATAGGTTGGATCTGAAGGCATATAATGCATGGGAAATGAAATATACATTAAAAAATAGTTTTAGATTAACTTACAGCCTCTTTTCCTTTAGCATATTTTAATTCCTCATTCCACAACTGATGTTGCTCTGCTTCCAGTTCTTTAGTCAGTTTGTTGACTGACTGCTCCAACTCATCTATTTCACACTTTTTTCTCTTGATATCTTCTGTGGAACACTTCTGATTATCACATATTTGCTTCAGCTTAATGTTCTCCAGTTTCAGTGCTTCAATTTGCATACCTAAATTTAAAGAAAATATACACAATAAAATTCTATAAGGAAAAATAGAACTTAACCCAATACCAAAGTTAGAAATATTTTTCTCTGGTCCAAGTTTATTTGTTACTGAAAAAAGACCATATAGACTAGAGCTGTAAATATCTTATGCACTATTTTGAAGTATATAAACTTGAAAGAAAATATCTAGCTCTCCATCTTCCCAATTATCACAAAAAATATTTTTCCATGCTATGCTGATCTCGTTTTCCAAATGCCCTGTAACTATTTGGTAATCAGAGACAATGAAGCAATTATCATCTCTTGCTCCTCACCAGCAGCATCCTGCTCTTCATCAGTACTCTTTGATTTCTGAGTGATGCTGCTCGAATGCAATTTGAGGTCGTCCAAATAAGCTTCATATTTCTTAACATCTGTCTGTAAAGTTGATTTCACTCTTCGCAGGGTCATTAAACGGTCCTTTTTATAGGAAAAAAATAAGGGGACATCGCTATGTAGTTAGCATACTATAGTAAATGAGATTAAATACAGTCGGCCCTCAATTTTTGCAGAGGTTAGGTTATCTATATGTGCTTCCCCCCCAAATTAGATTTAACACACACAGTACCTGAATTAGCTAGGTGGTTGGACCCAGCTACAGGTGTATTCCTTCACAGTCACTTATTCAAGTGGGAAAGGAATGGGATAGAGGAATCAGAGGAAGGAGATTAGATGATGTCTGGGAGGGAGGAGGAAAGAGCTAGGTGGGATGGAGGGAATGGGCAGATGGAAGATAAGGGCAGTGGGAAGGGGCTTTGGCCATTGCTCTAAAATGGTGGTGTTTCCTCTGCCCACCCAGTGATATTTAAGTCCCTATTAGGGGAGCAACAAAGAATCTATAAATAATCAAATCCACAAAGATTAAACCCGCAAATGTGGAGTAACTACATATTCAATTTTAACACAAGTATTCCTTCCCCTGGTGCCATATAGCCATTCTCTCACCGGTTCACTTTCTCTCTCTTTCTCACGAGTTCTGATCTCTGTATTTAACCGTTCTTCTTCTGCTTCAAGTGCCTCTATACGATTTTCATGTACCGCAAATAACTCCTCTGGAGAGAAAAAAAACACACGACATAAATCAACAAAAGTAGCATAACTTTTGAAGCATCCAACACATTTTACTATTATAGGAAAGCTCAGAATAAAAGCTAGAAAGCTTCAGTAAATAGTAAAAGTAGGGCACGCTACCTTAAAATAAATTTGTCATTTTTCTTTCTTCATTTAATATCTTATCAAGTTGTATAGGAAAGTTGAGTTTTCCTATAATAGGAAAGCTCAGAATAAAAATTAGAAAGCTTCAGTAAATAGTAGTGCACGCAAACTTATAATAAATGTCGTTTTTATTTCTTCATTTAATATCATATCAAGTTGTATCACTGCAAAGTCATTATCCTAACTATTTTACACTGAATTTTTCGTATTCTTTTTTTTTGAAGGACAGAGTTCTTGTCTAGTAGTAAAGGATAAAAAAAATAAAGTAATTCATGGATTGGGAGAGGGCTCAAGCAGAAAGTTCACAAAGCCATTTTTTTGTTCTCTTAAGCCTCATAATTTTTTCAACAATTCTGAGGCAGAAGGATCACACTGACACACAATTCCCATTCCTAACCTATAGGAAGGGTTATGTATGAACAGATAGATAGGATTTCAAGTAATAGAAAAAGGCAAATGCATGAGGGTGCCATCTAAAATAATATTCTAAATCGTAAAAATACCACCTTTGTGTAAGATCTCAGTATTAAATCTTACAACATAGCTTGGTGGCTGATAAAGTGGACTGGAACTGCCAAGTCCGTGTATTACCAAAAGGATGGGCACATTTGGCAGGTCAGAGGGCCTAAACCCCTTAGGAGTGGCTGTGGGTCATATCATCCCTCCTTACATACATTGAGAGAAAAGTAGCAATTCAATAAGAAGGCAAGGGCAAAATTAGTTTGCATTCCTTAGCTGATCAATACAATCTATCAACACAATTGCAGCCCACTGGGTTTCCACAATAAATGAGACATTTTCCACAACAGACTAGTTTCCTGGCCTGGACCATAGCTGGTGTTGTATGCTCTTGGGATTAAACCAATTTTTACATTCTTTTCTGGTCTTTAAATATCAATTTTCCCATACCCTAGAAGATGCTAACACTTTTCAGGCAAAATGAAAAGTGTCTCATCCTAACTGACAAAGGGACACTTTTTCAGGTATTCTAAGATGAAAACCTTCTTTTCTACCCTGCCAGTGTGAGCCTGCTAGACAAACTGCAGCTATTAAAAGCCCCATTATTCAATAAATAAAGCCTACTTTATTTATTACTAGTAAATGTCCAATTACTATGAATTTGATACCTTAAGCATATAAAACATGTAGAGAATGAATGCAAGCTAATTTCATTCCTTGACCATTTTTCTAGAAATTCCAAATGCTTATACCTCCAGAAAAAAAAAGATTAACATTAAAAGCAATTATTTTACTAGGCTTTAAAATAAGAAATACTTACTTAATTTGGAGTGTATTTCAGCATCAAATTCTTCATATGTGTCTCCTTTCATCATAAAATGGTTATAACATTTTACAGTGTAATCGAAAAAGAGCTGAGGATAAAATCATTTGTTTTAGATATTTTAAGAAGGCACATTAGCTTGCTATTGTGAATCAGGTCTACAGGATTACAAAAAAAAAACAACCAAGCTGTCTCCCAGCATTTAGTAGAAACAGATGACTTTCAGTCAGAGTTGACATTCTTTAAGAATACCAAAAGGACACGACTGTGTCCCTGCTGGAATACTTTAGAATTTGGTGCCATCTTCCTATATCCACATCTTATAAACGCAAAAGCACTGGGAGCTTCATTCTAGGGAACTTCATTCTATGGAGACACATGTGCAAAATTATTCTCTCTGCTAATGGAGTAACCCAAATTGATTACATCAAGCCCCTTCAGTTTCTTTGAAATCTATGGCTGATTTCGTATACTTGATGCTGTGAAATAAATAGGTACAAGGCATCATTGCCATGGAACTGATTACAATAGAACTGAGAAGGGGGAGTTCTTTTCCTCCTTGTGGTCCCCTGGTGAAATAAATAGGTACAAGGCATCATTGCCATGGAACTGATTACAATAGAACTGAGAAGGGGGAGTTCTTTTCCTCCTTGTGGTCCCCTGCAAGTCTTTAAACCTTTCTCTTAGCTGCAATGGAAAGTAGAAAAGCAAGGAATTCCTATTGTTCTAGTTTTTATTGGTAATTATTAATGTTAGATTTTGTCTCCAAGGAATAACAACTCGTGTGGAATGATGCAGGTAATGTTTTGGGCTGATAGTGTTTGCTCATTCTGTAACTAGCATACTAGCTCCAGCAAAGGATCACCGCCTTGTCGGGGCGCTGGAGCTTGAGCACCTCAATGATGTCATGAGCGAAACCGTGAAGGGCCACCCAAGACGGGACGGTTGTGGCAGAGAGGTCAGACCAAGCGTGATCCCTGGGAAGGCAATGGCAAACCACTCCAGTATCCTTGCCAAGAAAACTAAATGGACCAGTACAACCAGAGATATGTCGGTATGCCATTGGCAGATGGGACTCCCAGGTCGGAAGATGGCCAAAATGCTACTGGGGAGGAGCAGAGGATAAGTTCAACTAGCCCCAGATGTGATGACGCAGCTAGCTCAAAGCCGAAAGGAAGGCTAGCGGCCGACGGTACTGGAGGTGAAGGACGAATCCGATGCTCTAAAGATCAACACACCATAGGAACCTGGAATGTAAGATCTATGAGCCAGGGCAAATTGGATGTTGTTATTGGTGAGATGTTAAGACTAAAGATAGACATTCTGGGGGTCAGCGAACTGAAATGGACTGGAATGGGCCACTTCACATCAGATGACCACCAGATCTACTACTGCGGACAAGAGGAACATCGAAGAAATGGAGTAGCCTTCATAATTAATAAGAAATTCGCTAAAGCGGTGCTTGGATACAACCCAAAAAATGACAGAATGATCTCAATTCGAGTGCAAGGAAAGCCTTTCAACATTACAGTGATCCAAATATACGCCCCAACCACAGCTGCTGAAGAAGCAGAAGTAGATCAGTTCTATGAGGATCTGCAGGACCTACTGGATAATACACCAAAAGAGACATTATTTTCATTACAGGAGACTGGAATGCCAAGGTGGGAAGTCAAATGACAACTGGGATCACAGGTAAGCATGGTCTGGGAGAACAAAATGAAGCGGGACGCAGGCTGATAGAATTTTGCCAGGAAAACTCGCTGTGTATAACGAATACTCTCTTCCAACAACCTAAAAGACGGCTTTACACATGGACCTCACCAGACGGTCAACACCGAAATCAGATTGACTACATCCTTTGCAGCCAAAGGTGGTGGACATCCATCCAGTCGGTGAAAACAAGACCTGGGGCTGACTGTAGCTCAGATCACGAACTTCTTATTGCCCAATTTAGAATAAAACTAAAGAGATCAGGGAAAATACACAGACCAGTTAGATATGATCTCACTAACATTCCTAGCGAATATACAGTGGAAGTGAAGAACAGATTTGAAGGACTAGATTTAGTAAACAGAGTCCCAGAAGAACTATGGACAGAAGTCCACGACATTGTTCAGGAGGCGGCAACAAAGTACGTTCCAAAGAAAAAGAAAACCAAGAAGGCAAAATGGTTGTCTGCTGAGACACTGGAAGTAGCCCAAGAAAGGAGGAAAGCAAAAGGAAACAGTGATAAGTGGAGATATGCCCAGTTAAATGCGCAATTCCAGAGGTTAGCCAGAAGAGATAAGGAACTATTTTTAAATAAGCAATGCATGGAAGTGGAAGAAGACAACAGAATAGGAAGGACAAGAGACCTCTTCCAGAAAATTAGAAACATTGGAGGTAAATTTCAGGCAAAAATTGGTATGATAAGAAACAAAGATGGCAGGGATCTAACAGAAGCTGAAGAGATCAAGAGAAGGTGGCGAGACTATACAGAAGATCTGTATAGGAAGCATAATAATATTGAGGATAGTTTTGACTGTGTGGTGAATGAATTAGAACCAGACATCCTGAGGAGTGAGGTTGAATGGGCCTTAAGAAGCATTGCTAACAACAAGGCAGCAGGAGACGACGGGATCCCAGCTGAACTGTTTAAAATCTTAAAAGATGATGCTGTCAAGGTGATGCATGCCATTTGCCAGCAAATATGGAAAACATAAGAATGGCCATCAGACTGGAAAAAATCAACTTATATCCCCATACCAAAAAAGGGAAATGCGAAAGACTGCTCCAACTTCCGTACAGTGGCCCTTATTTCTCATGCCAGTAAGGTAATGCTCAAGATCCTGCAAGGAAGACTCCAGCAATACATGGAGTGAGAGTTGCCAGATGTTCAAGCTGGGTTTAGAAAAGGCAGAGGAACGAGAGACCAGATTGCCAATATCCGCTGGATAATGGAGAAAGGCAGGGAGTTTCAGAAAAACATCTACTTCTGCTTCATTGACTATTCTAAAGCCCTTGACTGTGTGGATCATAATAAATTGTGGCAAGTTCTTAGTGGGATGGGCATCCCAAGCCACCTTGTCTCTCTCCTGAGGAATCTGTACAAGGACCAAGTAGCAACAGTCAGAACTGACCACGGAACACAGACTGGTTCAAGATTGGGAAAGGCGTACGGCAAGGCTGCATCCTCTCACCCAACCTTTTTAACTTGTATGCAGAACACATCATGCGATGTGCGGGGCTGGATGAATGCAAAGCTGGGGTGAATATTGCTGGAAGAAACATTAACAACCTCAGATATGCAGATGACACCACTCTGATGGCCGAAAGCAAGGAGGAGCTGAGGAGCCTTCTAATCAAGGTGAAAGAAGAAAGCGCAAAAGCCGGGTTGCAGCTAAACGTCAAAAAAACCAAGATTATGGCAACAAGAATGATTGACAACTGGAAAATAGAGGGAGAAACCGTGGAGGCCGTGACAGACTTTGTATTTCTAGGTGCAAAGATTGCTGCAGATGCAGACTGTGGCCAGGAAATCAGAAGACGCTTACTTCTTGGGAGGAGAGCAATGTCCAGTCTCGATAAAATAGTAAAGAGTAGAGACATCAGACTGGCAACAAAGATCCATTGCCTAGTCAAAGCCATGGTCTTCCCTGTAGTCACCTACGGATGTGAGAGCTGGACCTTAGGGAAGGCTGAGCGAAGGAAGATGAGCTTTTGAACTGTGGTGTTGGAGGAAAGTTCTGAGAGTGCCTTGGACTGCGAGAAGATCCAACCAGTCCATCCTCCAGGAAATAAAGCCCGACTGCTCACTGGAGGAAAGGATACTAGAGACAAAGTTGAAGTACTTTGGCCACATCATGAGGAGACAGCAAAGCCTAGAGAAGACAATTATGCTGGGGAAAGTGGAAGGCAAAAGGAAGAGGGGCCGACCAAGGGCAAGATGGATGGATGGCATCCTTGAAGTGACTGGACTGACCTTGGAGGAGCTGGGGGTGGTAACGGCCGACTGGGAGCTCTGGCGTGGGCTGGTCCATGAGGTCACGAAGAGTCGGAGACGACTGAACGAATGAACAACATACTTGAGGATCCTCAGAATTCTGCTCTCCAACTAGTAGAAGTCAGTGTCATTGCTAGAGATGTGGGAGGCAGAACATCATGTAACCTTGCTATAATAATGTCACCATGCAAGTTATTTGTTCAGATCTCCAGCAAACTTGGACTGGAGGCCCACCAGATAGCAGGAAGAGAAAAAAAGTGGAGGAAAGGGAGGAGGGAATCAGGATGCAGCTCTTGACAGATGTAATGTGCACTATGTCCCTTGGCTGGAAAAAAACCTTGGTTACACAAATTTTCTTAATAGGCATGCAGAACTGACAGACAGAAGCAGCTGAAGGTTATTACGGTACATGTGCATTAAGAAAAAAACCCATTAAGTTTAATAGGGCTCCCTTTTTGGTTCTTTTCCATATACAGTGAACCCAGAGTGGTTTACAGACAAGGCACGCAATGCTTTCGTAACCCTTATTAAGGAAAAAAATAGAGTAACAACTATAGAATTAAACAGAATAATTATGGTCACTAAATGCAATGTGCAATACTCTTTGGCTTTATTAGTGAGCAGCAACCACATAGTTAGGCCCCTTGAAGAGCTGTCGTAGGAGGCAAGGAGAGGTTTAAATCCCAGTCCTCTGAATTAGAACAATATACTTTCTGTATACAGTATATACATAGGTTGGCCTCTATAGGAATCACAAAATGATTCAGTACAGATTTCTGTAAAGTTGCTGACTTAATTGTTTTGATTGCTGTGGGATTGCAAATTTGTTTGGCTTCTGTGCCTTTAAGAGCAGCCAGAAATTCAGATTGGTCCCAAAGACATGCACTGAACTGCTACTTGCGCAAAAACTTAGGGGACTTGTAGTTTGGTGAGGCAGCAGGTAATAGAGTTCTATGTTGTGACAATAAGAACAGAAGCAGAAAGTGTCCTTTGAAGCATTGTAGATCCAGATAGAAAAGGGCAAAACACCTTTGGCCAAGATAAAGTAACTGCACATAGCACAGCTTTAAGTACCTTATATGCTTTTGTAGAAGTCTAGAAATTTT